GACACTCCATATCAGAATTTTGAGCCAAGGTAAGACCTCTCTACTTTTATGTTGAAGAGGCCTGGCATGGGTAATGCAAGACCAATTTTTCGTTCACAGGTTCAAAGAGTGGGGTTTTGAGAGAGGCTGGGGTGATACTGCTGAAAGAGTGAAGGAGACAATGAACACTCTGTCTGAAGTACTCCAAGCACCAGACCCGAAGAATCTTGAGAAGTTTCTCGGCAGAATTTCCCACAATTTTCAATGTGGTGATCTTCTCTGTTCATGGTTATTTTGGACAAGCTGATGTTCTTGGCTTGCCAGACACTGGTGGCCAGGTAAAAGCTCGTCGACAAAATATAGTTTTAAGGTGTTTGTTTAAGACTCTTAATCAAGATACGATAAGTAGTCAAGTAGATGTATCTTTTACAAATTAGTGGCATATGCTTGAACATTCCATTTAATCTCCTCCACATGTTAAAGTGAAAACTTTTACTACAAATATCTAGTGAACTTAAAGCTTTATCCATTTAAAACTTTGGAAAAATTTAGTACATTGAAAGAAAAGGGAGTGAAAGGATCAAACTCTTGATTCTTTGGTCTATTTGGCTTTGACACACTGATCAAAACAAGTGCTTTTCATCTCTGATACTCTTTGCCAAGATCTAACATACTTAATGGGGTTCAATTTGGGCCAGGTAGTTTATATCTTGGATCAAGTAAGAGCTCTGGAAGCAGAGTTGCTTCTCAGAATCAAGCAGCAGGGCCTAACTGTGAAGCCTAATTCTTGTTGTAAGTTTCACAAGTTGCAAAGGAATTATCTTATTGCATAAAGCAAACTGTATGCATAGATTTATGCAAGTATGATCTTGTTCTCATGGCAGGTTACAAGGCTCATACCTGATGCTAGAGGAACCAAATGTGACCAAGAGTTGGAACCAATCATTGATACCAAGCACTCCCACATTCTACGTGTGCCTTTTGTCACAGAAAAAGGAATCTTTCGTCCATGGGTTTCTCGCTTTGACATTTATCCATATCTAGAGAGGTTTACTCAGGCAAGTATACCTGTATTTACATTAACTCATATTTTTCCCATCAAATGACCTTGCCTTCTGGTAACCTCTTTTTGCTCCTGTTTATAGGATGCAACAACAAAGATTCTAGACCACCTCGAAGGGAAACCAGATCTTGTTATTGGAAATTACACTGATGGGAACTTGGTTGCATCTCTTATGGCTAACAAACTTGGGATAACTCTGGTTAACATCTCTTTCTTCTCAGTTTAAAATTCTTGCCCTAATTTTCATTGTTACCAAAAGAAGAGACTAACTCTCCGGGTATTTTGGAACCAGGGAACTGTAGCTCACGCATTAGAAAAGACCAAATATGAAGATTCAGATGTCAAGTGGAAGGACCTTGACCCCAAATATCATTTCTCATGCCAGTTCATGGCTGATACAATTGCAATGAATGCAGCAGATTTCATCATCACCAGTACATACCAGGAAATTGCTGGAAGGTAAGCTCATCATATATGAAACAAAAAAAAAAAAAATCTTAAATACTCAAGAATTTTGGACAAGAAAATATGAAAAATGAGTTATGCTTGTGTTGGGCACTTGTTCAGACATTTGCACGAAGCATGAAAAGTGATACTAAATTACACATGTATACTTAAAGCTTGCTAGTATTCAAATATTAGTGTCCTTGTTTCTTGGTTCAAGAAGTGGACTTAGATATACTAATTTATTAAGTTTCTTATTTGCAGCAAAGATAGACCTGGACAGTACGAAAGCCATGCTGCATTTACACTTCCAGGGCTCTGTAGAGTTGTTTCAGGAATAAACGTATTTGATCCGAAATTCAACATAGCTGCACCTGGGGCTGACCAGTCTGTCTATTTCCCTTTTACGGAGAAAAACAAAAGACTCAATCAATTTCACCCTGCCATTGAAGAGCTACTTTACAGTAAAGTGGATAACAATGAGCACATGTAAGTGATATTGTTGCTTGCTACTCTGCATTTACATTTAAAATTCATATATGAATTGCTGAATCATTTTTCCCCTCAAAATGATCAATGTTAACCTGTGGAATTGTTGTGGAAGCAGTGGATCTTTATCAGACAGGAGAAAACCCATCATCTTCTCAATGGCAAGGCTTGATGTTGTGAAGAACTTATCTGGTTTGGTTGAGTGGTTTGGGAAGAATAAGAGATTGAGAAACTTGGTAAACCTCGTCGTAGTTGGAGGCTTCTTTGACCCTTCAAAATCCAAAGACAGGGAGGAAATAGCAGAAATAAAAAAGATGCATGCTTTAATTGATAAGTACCAGCTAAAGGGTCAATTCAGATGGATTGCTGCACAGACGAACAGATATCGCAATGCTGAACTCTACCGATGCATCGCTGACACCAAAGGAGCTTTTGTGCAGCCTGCTTTATATGAAGCATTTGGACTTACTGTCATTGAAGCAATGAACTGTGGCTTGCCCACATTTGCTACAAATCAAGGAGGTCCAGCTGAAATTATTGTTGATGGAATCTCCGGATTCCATATCAATCCCTTACATGGTGACGAATCTAGCAACAAAATTGCTGATTTCTTTGAGACTTGCAAAGAGGATTCAACAAACTGGAGCAAGATTTCATCTGCTGGATTGAGGCGCATAAATGAATGGTAAAAAACATCTTTCAAGATAGTTCCCTTTTATATTGTATCAGCATTCTGCAACAAATAAAGTCTTATAGTTTTATAAATGGCTTGTTTTGTAGCTACACCTGGGAGATTTATGCAAACAGGCTACTGAACATGGGAAGCTTGTACACTTTCTGGAGGACAGTGAATAAGGAGCAAAAAGAAGCAAAACAAAAATACATCCATATGTTTTATAACCTTTTGTTCAAGAATTTGGTATGACAATATAGTTGACATTAAAGAACCCAAAACATACACACTAATGTTTCCATGTAATCTGGCGATGAGATTCTGAGAAATTTTCTTATATGTCAATGTCACAGGTGAAGACTGTACCTTTTCCAAGTGATGAACCTCAAAGACCAGTTTCCAAGCAGCAGACTGTTAAACAGCAGGGCTCAAGGCATGTCATATCATAATGATAATCTTTTCACCAACTTAAGTTCATTACATTTTTTGATTTTTATTAGCATGAAACATTTTCTAAAACAAAGCTTTTTATTGATCCAATCTAAAATCTTCCTTTTTTCCCCCCTATTTCTTTCTTTGGCTGCACCAGACGTGTACAATCCACATTGTCAAGGTTAGGCTAACTATATTGTTTCAGCTCATGATTATAAGGTGTGAATGATACTTCACTGAAGCAATTCTCTGTTCTTTTAATTTGCAGGTTACTGGGAGCTTGAAGGTCACAGGAATAAAGCAGAGAAATCGATTGATGCAGATTGTTACACTGGATGGATACATAGTAGTCATGGAATAATGCTGTACATGTCTTTTCTATCATTTTTTCAATCATTAAAACAAACAAGCCCTGTAATTATTGAGATATTGGCAAAGGGGGTTTAATGTTATCAATAAGATGCATTTGAAATTCGAACAGAGCAATAATTATTATCATCACTCCAATGCACATAGTGCTAAACTAAATCCAAACAATACTCTTTTTTTTTAATGGAAAAAACGAAACAATACTTGAATATAAATTAATCGCCATGCTTAAATTTAAATTACTTGATCTTACCAAATACTTTTATTTTTGGGTTAAAAAAATAAAGTCAAACAGTAGACCATACGAATGGTCAAGTCAGGACAAATTGGAATTTTTATATAGTTTGGAATAGGAATATGAAAATGTAGCATGATTCCTTGATAGTAACTACTCCCTTGATTATTAAAAAATGTAAAGTATTTTTTGTGGGATATGATGTTAAAAAATATTAAGTATTTTTAGTCTTTCAAGATATAATTATTATCTTTTTTTTAAAAGTGTCTTTATTAAATAAATTATTTTATATTTATTTTAGGGTGAAACACCCTATTAAATAGGAGTAAATATAAAAGAATAGGGTTAATTTAAAGATAAGTAACTATTTTATTGGGAGTTAAAATTCGATTAAAAATACTTTATATTTTTGAATTGAGGGAGTGTATTATATAAAAAAAATAAAAAAATAGTTGAGTGAGAATACATTAACCTTCAAATTAATTTAATTTCCATCAATTTAGTCATTTACATAGTGTTTTATTCCTTCTTATAACAAAAAAAAATTTGAGTATTTTTTCCATCTAAAAAATTATATTTTTTTTTCATTAATCTACATGATTACTATAATATTTTGTTATCAATATTAGTAGGTTTTAACATGTTTACCTCTTCTTTAAATAATATGGATACAGATTAATTGATAATTAAGGCAAACTTAAGGAATCAAAATGATAAAAAGTTAAATTTAAGGAGTCAAATTAAAATTGAAAATTATGATAAACTTGAAGGACTAAAAATTTCATTCTCTCTTAAAAACATTATATTTTTACAAAAATAAAAAATAAAGAAAGAGAATTCCTTGTCACTAAGGGTAAAAATAGGCTAGGTAGAATAAGATTTTAGCCAAATAAGCATGAGCCTGTATGATAAATTAACAATTTGAGCCTGACTTAAAACATATATAAAGCTTTTCTTATGATTTAGGCCTAAGCCTATCTAAAGCCTGGCTTGGTCTAAAAGTATATTTAAAAACCTACTTAAAAGTAAGTCTTTTAAATAAACTCACATTTTAATTTTAAATATTTCAAATATATTTTAGGACTATTAATATAACTATATAACCTGACTATTACTATAAACTATATAATAATTAAAATGACTTACAAATTACAACACAATAATAAAATAATAACATTAAATTAATATATAAGTTTTGTCTAATTGAAAACATAACTAGAAATAAAAAATAATAGATTGATTGAAAATTAAATGATAAAATTGATTTGTGACATATTACATAATATATATATATATATCTCTGTGTGTGTGTGTAAATAAGTCAGACTATTAGACTCGTAGGCTAGATTTTAAAAAAAACTAAACTTAATATATTAAAATTAAACTAAAAAAGCTTAATTAAATACTTAAATTTGACCTGAGCTTGCTTATTTAACAAATAAGTTGGATTGAATCTGAAATAGACTAGGGTATAAGTCCCAGCCTATTTCCATCCGTATTTGTTAGCAGCCAAATAATAATACCAATAATAATACCAATAGTAACTGCCTTGTGTAGTTATGGTGATCCTCCATAACAAGAAATATAACAGTTTTGAGAAACAATACAGAGGGAGGAACCAAATTTGAAGGTTTGAATTTGTTGTTCATCCATATTTTGCAAGAAAATCTCAAACTCTGCAACATCTTTTTCCGATCCTATCATTGAGGTGACGCTCCTTCTTCCTCCAAGCAGAGGAATTCTTCGGTATCTTTATGACTACCTCATCATCAACCTCTGCCGTTGCAAATGTTGGACCCTCTGCTCCCTCTTCCAAGAATCCCAAAAAACCTAAATGTGAGTTATTCCTCAGCTCCATTTATTTCTTTCCCCTCATGTGCACGCGCGCGCGATTCTGTCTCGATTTCTGATGATCTTCATATTATGTTCATTACTGCAACCTCTATTGACATATTACATATGATACATTCACTTATATATATATATATATATATATATAAATATATATATAATTTTGATACAAAGACGTGACACTTTATCAATGTTACATATCAATCAGACCTAACGTCGAAAAATCGCGTAATGTCTGGACTATAGGGTCAATTTTTGGTACACTACGTGAACGTGTAAGATGTAAATTTAACATGGTAACCACTTAACCTTTTATTTGTTAGTTTTAACTGATGATATGCAGCATTTTCCTGTTTTATGTTCATTTAGAGGATAAATTTGTGTTCTGAAGTTCGTATCCCAAAATTGTAAGAGGCCATAGGTTATCAGGGTTATATAATATCCCCTAATAAAAATAAACTTCATGGGATTACTTTCAATGCTGCGGCCAAACAATCAGGCATTTCGTTCTAGAGTCTTCTTGACAGTGTTGGGTACATTTAGAGTGGATATTGCTGATGGAAGGTTACTGTAACCAGGTTATTGAAATATATTATAAAAATCTAGACTCATCTTCCCATGTATTGCATGGAGTCTGAGGAGAACTGTACCACTCATAACTTACGAATAATATGATTTTACATTGATTGATATTGATTCAGGATGTTCTTATTGTTAGATTAATTCAGGTTATTGAAGAAATTTTCACCCATTACAATGTTCTGTGAAGTCAAAATTAATTTGGTAACTTTACAATAATCTCAATTAACACTACCCAATAAATGTATGACTCTCTGTGCATAGGTAGGCATGCTTACGGGGCTAGTTTCATATCTGTCATCTTTAAGAAAGATGTCTCCTCTTATGTTTTCTAATCTTCGTTGTTATGGTGATCATTGTAATTTTAATTTACCCATGTGACCATGTCTTTTTTGGACAAAACAACATGGCTTATTCCTAATATTTTCCACCAAATTCAAGACAAACTGAGTGTTTCACATAATGATTTAAGTCTTGCAGTTGTTTTCTTACTAACAGCTTATTGTCTTTTGTGTCTATGTGTCATTAAGCTTTTATCCGCATAATATTTCCCCTGATTTTGTTTGCCTTATCGTAGATTCTAAATTTTCACAGCAAGAACTTCCTGCATGGCAACCAATTTTAACACCGTCATGGGTATGGCTTGCAAATTAACTTCTCTAATTTCACCACTAAATCGTTGTGAGCAACTGTCTCAGCCTTCTTTTGCTATAATAGTGGATTAGTGATTCATCTTCACTTTACAGGTCATTATACAATTTATAGTTATTGCAGTCATCTTCATTCCACTTGGTCTTGCCTCATTATTCGCATCAGAGCGTGTAATATATTGTGATTATTTTTTCACCTGGTGTCAAATGGAATTTGTGTGCTGCAACTGACAATTCATTTGATCGAGAATTTCTGATCCAGGTGGTGGAAATAAGCTACAGATATGATCAGGAATGCATTCCTCATAAATATAGCGGTGATGCAGTAGCCTTTGTTCAAAGCACTGAAACAAAGAAGACTTGCATCAGGAAATGGATTGTTAGTGTCTTTCCTGTATCATTTCTAGCATAATATTTTTATTTTCACTGTTCATTAACAGAACCTAAGCTGCAACCTGTAACTCAAGATTCTGGTTTCTGATGGACTAATTTTATTAGATAATTCACAGGTCACAAAAAAAATGAAAGCTCCAGTATATGTCTATTATCAGCTTGACAATTTCTACCAGAATCATCGAAGGTAAGTGTAATACACTGCTAGAATCGTGTTTTGGCTTCTTTTAGTGCTCATGTGCATTTGAGGTCGCCTTGTTTCTTTATTTATCCTAAAGGTGAAAATAAACTAGGCCAAAGTAGGTTTTGGCCAAATAGGCCTGAGGCTGTGTGGTAGGTAAGAGGCCTGAGCTTCGCCTAAAGCCTGTATAAGGCTTTCTTCAAGACTCAAGTTTGAGCCTACCTAAAGTTTGATTTTACTTGAAAATCTATTTAAAAGCCTACTTAAAATAAACCTTTTAAATAGGCTTACATATTAGTTTTAATCACCTCAAACATGCTTTAGGATTATTAAAGTCTACAATATATATCAAGTACTATATAATATAGCAATAAAGTAACAATATTAATATTAAAATCAATATAGGTCCAATTTGATTAAAAACATAACTAGAAATTAAAAAATTAGATTGATTAAAAATCAAATAGTGAAATTATTATGTGTGTAATATATTACATAATAATATGTGTGCGTGTAAATAGGCCTGCTTGTTAAGCTCGTAAAATAGGCCTAATCAAAGGCTTGAACCTAGCCTAGACCTAGACCTATTTAATAAATACGTTAAGTTAGGCTTGAAGTAAGTTAAGTCATAGACCCTTAATAGGGGCCTGCCTTGCTTCTACCCCTATTTATCTCTCTAACTAGACCTTTGATTTAAACCATCAACTTTGTTAGATGTAAAATGCAACTTTCATTGAGAGTGGCAGAGGTGAGGCAAGTGTCATGTTTTCGGTCACATAATATCCCTTTAATCATAGCTCAACAAACACACGCCTGCTTGCGTGTGGATATTGATGATTAGTTCCGTTATGATGATTTCATCAAATTTTTAATTTTCTAAAGGTTGGCAAATAAATGGGACTTACAGAAAGAATTTTCAGCTATTCGTTGGCAAAACGTAGTACAATTTATTAATGATCAATTTTTGGATGTTGTGATCTGCTGAGATTTTTTTTTCCTTTCCCCCTCATATTTCCCCTTTTTAATCTATCTTTCTGAAATTAGGGGACTCCGAATAACAAAATGCTTTTCTGTCTGCATGATATTCACAGATTTGTTAAAAGTAGAGATGACAAACAACTACGGAGTAAGGCAGATGAGAAGGGATCGTCCTCTTGTGAACCTGAACTGAATCATGATGGAAAACCAATTGTTCCCTGTGGCCTCATTGCATGGAGTTTGTTCAATGACACATTCAGTCTTT